TACCTTCCCACGCAACCCTGCAAATTCAAAATCAGTTTTCAGTCAAGACTGGATCTTAATTATGCCCTTGTGAATATTTCATCGGGAAAAATTATCATTTCGGAAGCCTTAAAAGCGACGAAACTGAAGCTTTGGGTGGACGCGACCTCGTCGAATCAAATTCGACTTTCTTGTACCCTTGGGTCTCTTGTGCTGCTCCGCGAAAGTTTTGGTAGGGAAAATTGTTATCTCTGTAACGAAGGCTGAAATTTCATGAGGATGTTTTCTGCCTGTGCAAATGCTTCACTAACTCAAATTTAGCTCCCAAATATGCCGAGATCTTATGTACGAGCACGTGAAAGTTTTGATGCGAAAGTCACTAACTCGGAAGCTAAAAAACTGGGAGGTTGAAATTTGGAAGAATGTTCCCTGTCCGAGGTTTCAAATTCAGCTTTCATGTACCGCCACGTGGGATTTTCGATGGGAAATTCTTTAGCTTAGGAACGAGAGAGCATATCAGCTATTTTTTCACACATGAAAGTTTAAAACAGTTATATTTTTATCAGGCAAACATCCGCTGGACAGAACTGCGCAAAACGCATAATCGCACCAGCTGCCCTGTTGCGCCGCTATTTATTTCCATTTGCGGTTGTGCAAAAAACGATATAAACTGAGAATACTTATTATTACTATCGAGATAACTTTATAGGAAGCCTGATGCCATACCGTTAACTGTGCAACATTTACATTAAAAATAAAAGACATAGCCTTCCTGATATTAATATTTGTATCTGGAGTTTTTTTTTTTTTTACTTTTACTTATGTACTGTTTTATTTGTTTCTTTTTGTTATTGATGTGGTTGGCAATTTCTTCATTCGTTTGCATGCAGGACTTTTCTGATTTGTACAATCCTGTACGGATTTTCAAGTCGATCTATGAAATAGTGCGCAATCTCTACTTGTCTTTCATTTTGTCCGTGTGGCTAGGCCAGCTCTTCCTGGCATACATTACCCTTGATAATCTCGTTCCCGATAAAAAATGTCAGCGTGAGCATTCGAGAAATACTGGGAGAAATACTGGGACTGAACAAAGGAAAGGAAGCAGGGCTTTGATCGGAAGACAAAGCCAGAGGATATTCTAGTGGAAAAAGCTGCATAAGTATCTAGCACTGGGTATTGCTTGAGGAACATATTCCTTCTTTAAATACTTTGCACAGATTTTCCGGAAACATTTACATTTCTTAAGTTTAAGCGTAAGTATTGCGTCGTGGCCAAGTATTATATAACTTCTTCCCGACTGGAACCACTAGCCTTCTCTTAACCCCAAATACTGCTTGAATGAGAGAAGAAACCCGTGTTCAGGCTAACTTTAGAAATACAGAATTTCACAATCTGAATGGGGGTATCTCTGAGTAAACTACAGCATGTTTGCCTCCATACGCGTCATTTCATTTTTAATTTTCATGATAATATTTCGTGGTAAAGTGAAGTACTGATCGTTGATAGCGCCTGCTGAAAGCAAATAAAACTTGTATTGGTCCTTTGAGCAGTTGTGATCTCGCGCATCTGTTGAAATCAGGCTGTTGGTGTGTGAGGCCAAGGTGAGGAGTGGATTGCTTCGTACGTTGGAACTGTTGACCTCGGTTTGTCAGCATCCACCCATCGATCTTTTGCTCAGTTTTTCTTTTGCTTCGCTGACATTACGTGTTTTCTTATACAGATGAGCGTGTAGCATGTTGCCGCGCATATGGTTCCGTTTATCTTGAACTT